GTGTGTGTGTGTGTGTGTGTGTGTGTGTGTGTGTGTGTGTGTGTGTGTGTGTGTGTGTGAGAGAGAGAGAGAGAGAGAGAGAGAGAGAGAATGGAAACTTAGAAAAATAATGTAAGAATCAGGTTTAAAAATATTTGCACCTATGCTAAATTCTATTCTCATATATTGCTCAGATCGTTTTTTAAAGCACACCTCTTTATTTGTCTGTACAATGAAATGGGAGATTAGTGTAGCGGGGCTATTTGGAAGGTTTAAATCACAGGGGCATGCTGAGGGATTTCATGTTTTAAAACCCTAAGGAACCCCCTTTCTCCTCCCCCAACCCTACCACCCATTTTACTAATGTATGTACTCGTTAATTGCATTCTTTCAGGAGAAAAACCATTCAAATGTGAATTCGAAGGCTGTGACAGACGATTTGCCAACAGCAGTGACAGGAAGAAGCACTCTCACGTGCACACCAGCGACAAACCCTACAACTGCAAAGTGAGAGGCTGCGACAAGTCCTACACCCACCCCAGTTCCTTGAGGAAACACATGAAAGTGCACTGCAAATCCCCTCCTCCGAGTTCAGGCTACGAGTCCTCCACACCTTCCCTGGTGTCTCCCTCCTCGGACTCCGGCCGGGACCCTCCTGCTTCCTGTTCTCACGCAGAGCCAGTAGCATCGTCGCAAACTGCAGCTAACCTGAGCGAATGGTACGTGTGTCAGAGCTCGGGGGCCAGTGGCATCCCAACTCCTCCCAGTAACTCTCCGTCACCTAACCCGGGAGAGGCTTCTTACACGAACTGTGAGCCCAGGCCCAATTATTAGAAATAAATCAATAAACAGATAGCTCACACAGTCTGCAGTCTGGATCTCATCGAATGGTCTCCTCTTGTTACTCTGCTACCTTTGCGATGCAGAACCACTGTACCAAGACTGCCACAGTAGAGGGAACAATCTTATGCGAGGGGATCATAGATAATGTGAGCACCACACACGGGGAATAAAAAAAGAGACAGAGGCGCTGCCCTGGCACATGGCCTCTGCAGAGAAGATACATTGTAAAATAAATTAAACAGGTCTCTGTTACAAACTGCATTTATGGTACCAAGCACACGCGAAGGCAACTTCAGTCCGTCCGCATTGCTTTTTGCATCCTTATACACACTCCTCTGGTCGTCTGGTTCTAATATGTTTACAAACTCATCGATTTTAAACATCTTGTGTATTAACGAACCAAAGTGTTTTAATTCGGATTTCTAGCTGTACAGGTTTTATTGTCGATGGTATCTTGTGATAGAGGTTTACTGTCAGTTTTGTTAGCCCACTATTCTCTCTCGCTCTCTCTCTCTTTCTCTCTCTCGTGTATATATATATATATATACACG